TAACAAAATAGGTATACTAATTCAGTTCATAGATGTTGTAGCTCCATGATGTTTTATCATTTTGCCACACTTGGCTCGTAGTTCAGTGTTCTTCACTGCAATTTCCTCTTTTATCTAGGACCAATCTTGCCAAGGGCTTCATCTATTCTGAGCAATTAAATTATTAAGCTTAACACTGCCAGACTCTAATTTCTGGATGAAAAAAGTGGAGGATTGCGTTAGGTAATTGACAGTCAGCGTAAAACTTGTCGAATAATAATGACATGAATCTTTTAAGAAATTGTATAAATTGAATGAAAGAAGAAAAAATCGTTATTATGCTTCTGCTATCATTTCAGAATGTTAGAACTTAGGGATGATTGCTTTCAGAAAGGAAATAAGTTATATTTCTATTCTTGTTAGCCTCCTGATTTAGTAACGTAAAATATGTTATGCAGCTCAAGTCAAAAGTTGGCGAAGTGATGTCATCCCCTGCTATCACACTATCACCTGAGAAGACAGTCTTAGGTAATTTTGTGCCCAAACCTTTGTGTTACCATTTTCAGAACTCTGGACATGGGCAAATTATTAGGTAAGGGTGTCAATATTTGACACGACACAAAAATCTGACCCAAAAAATCCGGGTTGGACCCAACCCGATTTCAAAACGGGTTGGGTTCGGGTTGACCCGACGGGTTGTCGGTTCAACCCGAAAATCCGTTTAATTCAAAAAATTTGGATTCCTGCCCGCTGCCCCCTCCCGCGCTACACACTTCCCCCGCTCACTGCCCGCTGCCCTCTCCCGCACGGCTGCCCACTCGCTTGCCGGCGCGCATGCTGCGACCACCGTGCGCTGCCGCTGCTCCCGCGCGCCTGCGTGCCATCACACGCTCGCTCATCCTCGCCAACCCGCATGTCCGCATCCCAGTCCGCTTGCTTCCGAGTCCGAGCCCGCTTCTTGTGTCTGGTCAGGTCAACCTGACAACCCGCTGGGTCGAGTTCGGATTTCCAACCCGTTTTCCTACCCGGGTCGATGTAGGGTCAACCTGTTTAAACCCGGGTCAGTTCCGAGTTCAACCCGAACCTGACCCGTGACCCGAAGTTGACACCCCTATTATTAGGTCTGGTCATCGGACATATTTCTAGGTCCGGACATCCACAAAAAATTTTCCACGTAGAATGTACACGTGTCCGAGGAATTTTAAGTCAAGCGCGTCAAAAGCGCAGGTAAAGCGCAGTCAACGTGGCAAGTTTTTATTGGATGTTAGGACCTAGAAATAGGTCCGGTGACCAGACCTTATAATTTGCCCATGACATGACTGAAACAGCGGTATGGGGGGGTCACGGGTAGAGAAGGGGCAGGTTAGGGTTATGAGAGGCTTTAGGATATTTTAAATTAATTACCAAGGAAGGTAATTAGTCTAAGGAATTAATGGGGTGGAGGGAAATTAAGATTAAATTTTGAAATTTTCAATCTAGGACTAATGGAGGGAAAGGGGGCCGGCAGCATGCATGAAGGATGGGGGAATTGGAAGGGGATTTAGTAGCTTCCTAATTCGTTAGATGGAATTAGGAATGAATTTAAATAATCAAATCCAATTTAAAATTAAATTAGACTTAATTAAGGAACTTTCCTAATTTAATTTGGGTAATTTAGGAAACAATTTGAATTTCAAATTGAATTAAAATCTTTCCCAAAGTAATTAGGCTAATTCAGGTAGAATTTAATGACGATTGAAATCATCATTAATGGTGGAGATATGTAAGGGGGGTCGGCGGCTAAGGGGTGGAGAGAGGATGGGAGAAGGGGGTCGGTGGCTTGGAACAAGAGGATGGGGGCGGTAGCCAGTGGCTTTGAGGGAGGGGATGGTAAGGTGGTCGGTGGTGTGAAGTAATGGGTGGTGGGTCGGTGGTTAAGAGGAGAGGGAGGAGAAAGCTGGCGGTTGGGTAAGGGAAAAAGTGCAACCACGAGCCAGGGATGCTTCCACCGACTGATGGGTATTGTTTTGCCCACACCTTGGGACTTCACTACTCAAGAACTCACAAGCTCTCAAGAAAATCACAAAAATTATCATTCATTCATTAAAAAATCAATATAAAGCCTAAGACCTCTATATATAGGCTTCCATAAGGAAGAAAACTTAAAAGACTAACATGCCCTCCAGCCTATAACTCGCTAAACTTCTCCATAGAGGTACAATGATCAAACTGAAACAAATAATAATAATACTAATACAATAACATAAAATAACTCATAAATAGATGCTCCTGATCATGGTCATCGATCTGTGATGTCTACAGTGATATATGCGCTGGAAATTCTTGTTGATGTCCTCATCACTTCTTCTACTCCTCTGCTTCAAATCCTGAGTCGCCACTCTTCTTATTATGCTTTCTCGAATACCTCTGATTCCTAGGCAACTTGGGATCCATCCCTTCAGTGGATGCTTGCCTCTGCCTCCTAGGCTTCTTGATTCCATTCTTGTGAGGCTTGACAGACTGGTTGTGAGCCGTGTGATTCTTCGAGTTCGCTATTCTAAGCCATTATAGAAGCAACTAAACTTATCACACGAGTCAAATATAGTAACTAGCAATCAGATATTTAGGAGGAAGAAACATATTAGCTGTGCCGACTAACCTCTAATATGAATGCAGCTAATGGCGTCATCTTAAACCTCTTCGTTATAGAAAATTGAAATACACAACCAGTGAAGAATTTTTGTCAAATAAATTTACATTAATTACATGTTGCAAGTATGTTAATTGCAATATGTAACAACTTATATGATAAATTCTAGTAAAAATTCTTCTCCACATTCTAAATATTAGCTATAGAAAAAATCGAGAGGAAGATGAGGAAGTTCGTGCTATCTGGGCGTGCGAACGAGAGGGAAAAGAGCAAAAATTTTGCTGTGGAATCTATTAGTTTGTGGTTTTATCCATTAGTCTTTTGCGCATCAATCTTAAGAAGAAAATGAAAGGAAAAAAAAGTTGAATAGAAGGGAAGAAAGGGACAAAAAGAGAAGCAGGGGAAAATGATAAAGAACAAAATAAAGAAGAAGAAGAATAAAAAGAAGAAGAAGAAGAAGAAGAATTAGAGAGGAAGATGAGGAAGGAAAGGAGGAGGAAGAGGGAAGAATAGCGAAAATCAAGAAGAAGGAATGGGGTAGAAGTTATCTGTGCGTGAGAGAGGGTCGGCAACAGGGCAGGCTTTTGATCGCGTGATAGAGGGGGACCCGGAAGGCATTCATTTCTTCTGGGGCGTCCAAACGAGAGGGAGAAGACTGTAGGAGAGTGAATAGCGGGAGAGATTTCGATCAGATAAAAAAGATGAATGGAAAAATTTTGAAAGTTGGGCAAGACGAAGAGTCAGAGGAGCAATTCGTATCATAGTTTAGCTTAGTAAATTAAAAATTTATTACGAAGGAAGTCAATTGCACGCGGATGTGATAAAAAAAAGCTAGGTTTGGAAATGAACGGTCACCTGTTGTAGAGAGGCGGGTAACGCTAGGTATCGCCATGATATAGAAATGCTATATTTGATGTGTGAAATTAATTTTTTTTTACATGAGTGAATAAATGTTTTGTAGGTAGAAGTTATGCAAAAAGTTATACAAGTGTTTTTTAAATAAAGATTTTGAAGAGTCATAAATGAATATTCAAGTTATAAAAAATTATTAAATGAGTGAATAAATATTTTGTAGGTAGAAGTTATGCGATAGTGTTTTAAATAAATAATTTGAAGAGTCATAAATGAACATTCCAGATTATTTTAAAATTTATAAATGAACGATCAGGATTTGCTAAGTGTGAAATCCCAAGTCATTTTTATATAGTAGTATAAATATTAATGAAAAATTAGAATTTTGCCTTTGGTTAAGAGAGTGGCTAATCAATGAAAAGTCAATGTTGTTTTTGCTCCATCTTTGCACAAGAATGTCACACACAACCTAATAAAAGGTAGAGCCCTCATCGCCTCTATGATCCCTTATGTCTTTTATAGTATAGAATCTCACATTTCATTCATATTAGCTACTCTAAACATGCCTTATTGTCTTTGTAAAAAAATAATTTAACTTATTTACATATGGCTATATAACATGGACAACCAATTGCTTATGGAATCAAACTTTAAAATCTTCTAAAGTTCTGGAGCTTAGCTGCTCCAGCTGGGAACGGCAAGCAGTTTGACCAAGCTGCAGTTAAAAAATTTAAAAGATATTACCGTTGGAAGAAACATTGTACATAATGAAAGGATCCCATAAATCTTTTGTCGTTAAGCATATGCTAAAAATTATTGTAAGTTTTGTTTTCTTCTTGATTTATGATCTCATAGAAAAAAAGAGCAAAATACTTCAATGATTGGAAGAGATTTCGTGACTTTGATGTTATAAAGAATTATTTCTTTGAGCGATTTGAATGTTTTCTTTAGACGCAAGCAGAATAATCCGCGCTTATCAATAGTCACATTGCAGTAATTTTTTTGATCAAACAAGCAAATCAAGTAATGCTACAAATAATCTCCTAAAAATGGGAGGATAAGTTCCAATGCTTAGCAGCTTCAAGATCTCTTTAGGATTTTTTTTATTTCAATCCTTAACAATTTTGAAGATCTCTCTAAAAAATTAAATAGTGGCCTTACAAAGAAAGAAAAAAGAAGAAAACTAGAAGAAATAGAATAAAATGGAAAAAAATACATCTTCTGCCATGTTTCACGGTCGAAAGTCTCCCAAGAATCGTGAGAGTGGGAGCTAAGACCCCAATCGGTGGGTTTGGGCAGGCAACGGGCTTCGATCGAAAGGGAAGATGATGGAGGCAGAAATAGTGAGGTTACGCCTTGCGCGGGAATTGGATGGGCTTGAATTCGAAGTGATGGAAATAGGAGGTTACGCCTTGCGTGGGAATCGGACGGTAAGACGCAGAAGTTAGCAATAGGGAGGGTTTGGTCTTGGGTGGGAATCAGAAGTCACCCAGAGTTCTAAACTGCCTCCGTCGATGGCCTTGTCCCTGAAAATTAATGGCTGAAATTGAATATTCCATTTAAAAGATGTTGAAAGATCTTTTTTAATAAGAGTATTAAATTAAATAAGCATATTTGGTTAAATTTTAAAATTAAAAATAGTTCAAATTAATATATTTAATCCCGTTAATGTCTGATTTAATTTTGATGGGTAGACTAATTTCAAATAAATAAATGAACAATTAATTTAAAATTTAGTATATTATGATCTTATACTAATTTAATTAATCTAAATATAGTTCAAAATTTAAAATTATTTTAATTAATTCAAATAAAATAATCTCTACTATAAAACAATTTATTTGAACTCAATTTAATAATAACCCTTATAAAAATATTATTTTTTTTAATAAATAATAAGATAAAGAGTGATACATTTATTTTTTTTAAATGAAAATGCATATAATTTTAGATGTAAAAAAATATTAATTTTTTAATAAATAATAAGATATAGAGTAATATATTTATTATTTTTTAATGAAAATACATATGATCTTCAATTATAATTATGTATAACATTGGGTTACTATTAACATTTAAAGTTCAAATATTAAAAGCGGATCACGTATTGACAAGATTATGTAAATAAGGCCAACATTTGTGAAAAAGAAAATATTGAATGTGGTGGGATGAAAAAAATTAAATTATTTATTTAGAAAGACAATACATGGCATATTAAGAGTAGCTAATATGAATGAAATGTGAGATTCTATGTTATAAAAGACATAAGGGATCATTAAGACGATTGAAATTAAAAAGAAAAAAAAAATCCATGAGAGATCTTGAAGCTACTAAGCATTAAAACTTATCCTCCCATTTTTAGGTGATTATTTGTAGCATCATCGGATGTGCTTGTTTGACCAAAAAATTAATGCAATGTGTTTATTGATAAGCGCAAATTGTTCTGCTCACATCTAAAGAAAACATTCAAATCCTTCAAAAAAATAATTCTTTATAATAGTAAAGTCACGAAATCTCATCAAATCATTGAAGTATTTTGCTCTTTTTTTCTATGAGATCATAAATCAAGAAGAAATAAAACTTACAACAATTTTTATAATATGCTTAACGACAAAAGATTTCTGGGATCTTTTCATTATCTATAATGTTTCTTCCAATATTAATATTTTTTAAATTTTTTAACTGCAGCTTGGTCAAACTGCTTTCCGTTCTCAACTGGAGCAGTTAAGCTCCAGAACTTTAGAATATTTTAAAGTTAGATTTTAGATGGCTATAGAACATGGACAACCAATTGCAACTGCTTCTATTGAGCTGATTCATTTGCATATGCCCAGATTCGATGAAAGTTGCAGAGGTAGTTAGCTAGAAATTTGTCAAACATGTATTAATTGACAAAATATGTATTAATATGACTTTGAGGCAATAGTTTAAGGTTTTTTTCTATGGTTTCTTTAACAAATAGTTGTTCAATTTCCGTAGTAATCCTTGTTTAGCTTACTTTTGAATGATAATTGGAGAATGTTGATATGGATTTGATGTTAAAATAAAGATGCAGGCATTGAACAAGATGAGAGCACTTTAAATGAACGGAATGAGCTTTGGCATAATATACATGTGTTTGTTACTTCAGTTTGCCCGGCAAAATCATGTGAGCTCATGTGTATTTATGAGATATGATGTAGCTATCCTATACCTTTTAGTTCTAAAAGGAGAATAAATTTCTTATCCATTATAATTTTATCAATGGGCTGCATAGAAAAAATTTGTTTATTACTTTATTATATTTATCATACAGGAAAAACTTGACAAGGCCCTTTCTGAGCCTACACAATCCCTTTTAAAAGATGCTAATGACCAACAATTAGAAAAATTCTTCACCTAGAGTGAATGACCACTTTAGTTGGTTTTACTTCAACCATTTCTTCATTTGGTACTGATCAGACAACTATCGAAACATTTGTTGCAAAATTAGAAAGACATGCCATAAGGATTATTGAATCAAAGGCAAGGGAAGAAGCTGGGAAGGTCTTGATAAATATGAAGGACATGTGATGAATTGTTTTCTTGAAGTCTAATGTCTGAAAGATCTCAATTATTAAATTTATTTAATTTTATGTAATATGTTTACATGTTTGAAATAGTGTTTAGTTATGATTCTGATTCAATGCTAAGACTTTGGATAGGAAAAGAAGATATAAAAATAATCACCAAAATGGCTCGTTTAGCAGTATGTTTTGAATTTGCATTCCTACTTCTATTCTTTTTCTTTTTAATCTTGCAAGTTGATATATATGTTTAGTTATAATTTGTATTTCAAATTGTTTTTTTTTTGTTTGCAGTCATTAAAGTTACTAGCTGTCCTTACTGTAATTCGCTTAGAAGAAAATACGGATAACGTTGAGAATTTATTACAACTTGCTTTGATGGTTTACCTTATCTCTTCAACCTCAAATAGAAATTTGTCATCAGACACATTGATTGCTTAGAATTCCAATAAGTGGGGAGATGTACGACTTCATAGCCTTTTTTGTATATAATTTATTTTTGTTCGCATTCATTTTCATAAAGATTTGCCTTTATTTGATATTTAGGTTTCATCAATGAGAATATTAATTTCATCAGTTCAATGCAAGTTATTATGTAAACATTTCAACAAAAATACAATTCATATAATGAATA